AAACTTACTTTGGAGTTTTAATCAATATCTAAAATTTTTACCTAAGAACAAGGCTTTTATTTATCATTGTGTACTGACAGCCATCTAGAGTTGTGGACTACACCAACACTGATGTAAATCGAAACAAACATCAAAAATCGCAATAATCCGGCGCTACAATCCAAAACATTACTTTGATCACAAATGCGGTCTGGGATATTATTAACAAGGATTACACAAACATCTCCGAGTTCCAACAATCCAAAAAAAAAATCTCTGAAACTATAAAGAAATATGCCAATCGAATATATAATCATTCAAACGATGGACCTTATGTCACTTTCAAATACCCTCACTATGACAAAAAAATTTCAAAAAGCTAAACGCTTAATTATTGCTGTCTTTTACTTTAATTCTCAACTGAGAACTGCCTAATTCATAAGGAAAAATATTGGTTAGTGATTTACATTAAAGAAAAAATATTAGTATATATAAAAATAGAAAAGGCAGTAATATTGACCATATGGCTATGATCACAAATATCCAGCTTTAGTGATCTTTTAAAACATCTATTAGTTTAACTGTTCATATATAATTTTAACACTGTACGTTTAAGTATCAAAATTGTTTCAGAAGTGAAAAGTTTCTTATTAACTCTTTTCTTACACAAAACAAATTTCTTGCCATACAACGTAAATATTTTTTAATTAAAAATAAAACATTTATTCTATCACTTAATGGTTGGAAAATTTATTTGAGAATTTCAAATAACTTTATATATGTAATAAATATTATTGTATAAAATACTACCCATTTTACTACGTGAAAAGTATTAATATGTATGTACAATGCTTATGAAGAACATTTAAAATTCTCACTTAGTTTAATGTCAACAACCTTAAATAGATTTATAGCAATTAATGGTATTGTATTTAATTTTAATATAATATATCTCTTGTTGCACCTTTAAACTTCTTTTAAATTATTATACTGAGGGTATATACTTTCTTCCTGCTTATGATTTGCGTACTATATGATGGCCCTGTTTTACTTTGCTATTAGCCCCAAATACAAATGCTTATGTTGAATAAAAATGAAAGCCTAAAACATTTATTTTGTTACTTAATGGTTGGTAAATTTATTTGAGAATTCCAAACATTTTACTACGTGAAAAGTATTAATATGTATGTACAATGCTTATGAAGAACATTTATAATTCTCACTTAGTTTAATGTCAACTACCTTTAAATACATTTGTAACAATTAATGGTATTGTATTTAATTTTAATATAATTTGTCTCTTGTTGGACCTTTACACTTCTTTTAGATTGTTGTAGTGAGGGTATATACATTGTTCCTGGTTATCATTTGAGTACTGTATGATGACCCTCTTTTACTTTGCTGTTAGCCACAATACAAATGCTTATGGTATGTTGGGTAGAAATAAAAGCCCACAATTTAAAAGTTAGAAAATATATAGCTTTTTAGTCCGCTGTTAAGTCTTTGAATATTGAATATTATTTTAAAATTTCAATTTTTAGTATGATTAGTGAATCTTAAATTAAGATATAAATAAATATGATCAAAACAGCGACTATGACACATGTCGCTCAACGACTTATAGTACCTATAATAGTAGTAATATAAATAGTTGTGTAATAGTGTGTATAATGGTAAACTAATATATACACGTTATAAATAATAAAATTATATGATATTATATTATAATTATTATATTCTGATATTAAGTAAGACCAGAATGCTATACAATTTTTTACATATTCTGCTACTTTTTGCCCATTGATATTGATACGTTAAAACTGCAGCTCAGCAGATATATAATATACTAAAAAATTTCTGAAAACATACAATTGGACATACTACGTACAATTGGACATACTACAGCTTTACAAATACACAATGATATATTGCGACAAATGGATTGCGCAAGAGTTACCGTGATGATGAAGAGATAGTGCAATAATTTTTTTATATCCATCCAAAACTACAAACGAAGTAACTAAAATATCTGGAACAATATTTTTGCACTGGCTTGGCAGAGATAATGAAAGTGAGTTTGCTGGAGCTCTTCACCTCTTTGGCGTTATCTAGAGAACTTAATAACTTAAGAAGGATAATATAAGCAGATAACAACGTTCAGTGTAACCCACCTCTCGTAAATAAATTTGAGAGCATCATAGTGATTATTCGATTAAAAATGTTGTTAGTTGTATTAAAGCGCTTCCCTCTTAATTAAGTCTAACCTTTCAAATAAATCATATATATTTCAAAATCTTTTTGGAGTTTTTTATTCATTTTTAATTATATATTTAATTATATTAATTAGCTCTTATTATATTGAAAGATTACTGTTTAGATATCATGTATCGTTTTTCTAAAATTGACAACAGATATATATATTTATTGTTGGGGTGTTACCACACCATACAAATGAGTTAAACTTAAAGATTCAAAAATTTATTAAGAAACTGGGAAGAAAAAGAACTGAATTGACAGTTTTGCATTACAATAACGATCTTTTATACAGTGTAGAAGAAACGAACAACTTCACTGCGCTCTCTGGAATTATACAATTTCGCTCAGCACCTAATTTCCCGGACCGAACGCTATAAAAATAAAAATAAAATGACTTTGGCAATAATGAGATGATAATTAGTGCTAATCTCGAAATTGGAAACTTAAAAAATGGGAGTATCAGTACACTAAAGATGACTATATGTTAGTTCTATAGTCGATATATCGGTATTAAAAAAATGTTTTCTAAACTAATTTAAAAAGCTGTTCTTTATTTAATTTGATTTAAATAATTTAAGTATTATATTTTAAGTATTAAGTATTATAATTTTCTTAAACCGGCAAATACTTTGGATAATTATTATTATTATAATTGTTATCATAAATTGTAATTAAATCAAAGTAAAAAATAATAATATATAATTAAAATTGTTAATATTTTATTTAAATAATTACAAAACTTTTTTGTCATTATCACGAAAATATTATTTTTATTTTGTGTGACAAAAAAAAAATGTTGGAGTAAGAAAATTGTTATGCTACCTTTTCTACTACATTTCACCAACTACTACGTTTTTCTATATTGATAACGGTAAGCCGTCGAAAGCTCTCTCAAATAACGGTAATTATTTTGTGCTTACGAATATATATTTATGTCAATTTCGAAAATCAATTTCGAAAACTTTTTACTCTCTTTCGCGCTAACATCTGAAAGAAAATGGGCTTTTTGTGGGATTTGTAGTGTGGCATTGCCTAAAACGCGACCGAACATCGACCGAAAACGTTGATAAATATTTTTGCTGTGCTGAAGGTGAACATGATTTATAAAAATTAATATAAAAAATAATATTATTAATTTATTGTGAATAAAATTATAAGAAATTTATTGCTTATAATTAATCTAAGAAATTTTTTGTCTTAATCTTAGTAAATTTTAGTAAAATATAAAAAAAATTGAAAAAATTCTTAAAAAAGAAAACGAAAATTTGTGAAAAGAAAATTCTTAAAATAAAACCGTACATTGAAAAAAAAACAGGAAAGAATCAAATTGCAAAAAAAAAAAAGAATAAAAGTGTGAGTTCTTGGTTAGAATTTAAAATTTTCTTATTATCTTGTGTATAAGAATTGAGGGAACTTTTTAAAGACCTTTGTGGGTATACAAAGATTAAGCATTGACAAATATATTTTTACAAATTTCTCAGGATTGAGTTTAAACAAACTATTTTAATAGTTTGAAAGGTTAATTAAATTTATTCATTCTGTTCTAATTTCAAATATTTGTAAAAACTTTTGTTTTGTTTTTATGTATTTTCATATTAAAATCTGATTTTATTTTTATAAAAAAAATTTTTTTGTTTATAAAAATTTTTTTTGAAAATTATAATTATTTATCGTTAAGTAAAATTTATTATGAATTTAAATAAACTACATTTATTTTATATTAAATTTCCCTCGAAAAAGCTTTCGAAAGTCTATAAATTACGAAAAGAAGTATTAGTATAGTTTAGAGAGAATTATATATTACTTTTCTTTTTCATATAAAAGAACGAAAACTAAAAAGTTAATAGAATAAAAAAAAATTAAGACTCTTGTCATATATTAAATAATAAAAATTGTATAGAATTCGAGTGATGTCCTGTACCGACATTGTTTCCTTCAAAAAGAAATTAACGTAATACAAAAGACAAAAAAAAAAAATATTTTAATTAACATAGAAACTCACCTACACCCACTTACTTACATACTTATAACTATTATTATTCTCTCAAAAAAAAATTCCACCACATTTGCGTTGCGTACATCGCCATAACATTGCATAAAATTTTATCAAATTTACTTTTGCACTGTTTTCTCTCTCTCTCTCTCCCTCATACTCATGCCAACTTTTTCTCTCTTCATTTGCTCAACATTTGTTTTCGTGAATTTGCGCTTTGTCACTTGCACATACCCATATCCATGCTTGTGGTAACGCATACATACGCAGGATTTTAGCCAACAGCACTTTGACCGACCGACCGTACAACCATCAAAATCATCATCACTTATACCACCACCACCACTACTAGAAAAAAAACCACAACAACAACAACAACAAGAACAACAAAATTTATAATAATAACAATTCAAAGAATTATTATTAAATAAAAAAACATCACGACCACCGTCACTTAAACATTAAATAAGTTGTACCAAACAAACAACCAATCAACCAATCAACCAACCAACCAACCAGCCAACTAACTAAACTAGCAAACTAGCAAACAAGCAAACAACAACAGAGCAAATCAAGCAGGCAACGCGTGTACATGTTCGTGTGTTTGTGTTCCAAAGTAATATCGATTTCATATTGTATGTGTCGTGCGCTCGTACTTTGCCTTAAGTGAAACACAAAAAAAAATTGATAAAAACATAAAAAATATAATTAATACAATTTAAAAGTATAGAAACAAACTACAAAAAGGAGTTTGGTTTAAAAATATACAGAGGAAAAAACAACAAAACAAACAAGGCGAAGTGAAGGAAAAATAGAAAGAAAAAAATCTGAAATCTGTGAAATCTGAAAGCACTCAAACAGTCGACCCAGCAGGAATAACAGAAACTGAAAGCAAAGTTAACAACTTCAGTTCTCTGCCAGCAGCGTTGCAACGTGCACAAAAATTAATTTCCTCACAGTTCCGCAGTGCGTCTACGACAACTGAACGAAAGCCGTGTACCAAATAATTTCGTTAACGCTACGTTACAATTAAAGGTGAGTTAAACAAAGAAAAAAATATATATATATATCCTAAGGCTTGCACATATAAATGTCTGAAGAAAGCATCAGATGGTTTTCTATATATAAATAATTATGAACAACGTCTTAAAAAGCTATTAAAAAGACAAGCTGAATTTTATATAATATAAATATAAATATCTGTAGAATGTATCAGCTCCTTTCCTAAATATCTCATATATAAATAATTATATGTTATATATAAATCTTCTTTTAAAAGTCAAACTTAAATTGGAGTACTTTTCTATATGTAAATATTTATACATATCTATATACATATAGCCTTTTTAAAAAGTCAGGCTAAATTTATATAATATAAATATAAATATCTGTAGAATCCATCAGATCCTTTCCTATATATCCTATTTATTAAAAAAAAAATCTTAAAAAGTTTTCCAAAAGACAAGCTGAATTTTATATAATATAAATATAAATATCTGTAGAATACATCAGCTCCTTTCCTAAATATCTCATATATAAATAATTAAATATATAAATCTTCTTTAAAAAGTCAAACGTAATTTGGAGTAACACCAGTACGTAATAAATTCTACATATTCATATATACAAAAATATGAACAAATTATCAGATACTTTTCTATATGTAAATATTTATACATATCTATATACATATAGCCTTTTTAATAAGTCAGGCTAAATTTATGTAATATGAATATAAATATCTGTAGAATGCATCAGATACTTTCCTATATATTCCATTTATATATATATAGCTCTTTTTAAAAAAGTCAAACTTGTTTTGGACTAACTCCAGTACATAATATATTGTACATATTCATATAAACAAAAATATGAACAAATTATCAGATACTTTTCTATATATAAATATTAATAAATATATACATGTGGTCTTTTTAAAAAGTCAGGCTCAATTTATATAATATAAATATAAATATCTGAGGAATGCATCAAATCCTTTCCTATATATTCCACTCATAAATAATTGTATATATAAAACTTTTTTAAAAAGTCAAACTTGTTTTGGACTAACCCCAGTACATAATACCCATGTTATACATTTTCATATAAACAAAAATATGAACAAATTATCAGATACTTTTCTATATATAAATATTAATACATATATACATACGGTCTTTTTAAAAAGTCAGTCTAAATTTATATAATATATATATAAATATATAAAGAAGACAGCAAATCCTTTCCTATATATCCTATTTATAAATCATTATGTACACATAGAGCTTTTTTAAAAAGTCAAACGTGATTTAAAGTAAATCAAATAATATTATTTAGCCAAACTTTATTCAAACTAAATAAAATTTACAAATTATTAACTCTAAGTCCATTAGGAAACAATAGTGCGACTAAGTGCAAAAAATATGAAAGAAATAAATTTCCAGAATATGAAAATCCTTACGACGCCGCTTATTGCGTGCAACTTTCCACTAATCAAGGTTACAAGACTTTACTGCTCCAGCATAGTACACAGATACACACTAACACATAGACATAATGTTGTTCCAAATCAATGTTGGAAGAAATCCAAAAACGCGACATTAGTGACAGCAATAATATATACATATACCTAACATATATATATATATATCTAAATATATATACAAGTTTTTCATAATGAAAATTATATTGCAGCAGAAAAGTGGCAGCAGTTCACTTGGCATTTGCAGTTGAACTGCACATATTCACTTAAATGCACACAAAGTTCAAGATTACAAAAAAAACTTGCAAATAAATGCACTAAAGTCAAAACGTTAATTAAATAATAAATTTAAATAATACAAAACACTTTCAAATGTACTTTGGCAGTAATAAAACCATGAGTTAGTTCACTTTAGTCAAGTAATGAGATTTTAGTTAAACTACATAGGTAAAGCCTTTAGAGTTTTTCAAATAAACAATACAATTTCGATATAATTAAAAAGAAAAAAAATTTTTAGTTTTTAAAATATTTTAAATATAATGAAAATTAATTAGGAGCGAATGGTTTGTATATATATTTAAGTTATAAATTAAATTAAACGTATAGCAAGTTTAAGTTCCGTCCGCCCAATAAGCAAACTCATCAACACGTCCTAAACTGGTAAGTACAATAGTTCAGTTTATAAACAAACTTAAAGCTTCTAAATATGTTAACAATATTAAACTACATTATTTATATTAATGTTAAACATTATTTATAAAAATTTTAAAAGTATTGTATTGGTAACATTTCACACTTAAAGTTACTATTATAATTAATGCTCGGTCAAGACATGGGATCAAAGAACAGTCGAGCTTAAAAATTGTTACAGATACATAATACTTTTTCTTTAAAAAAAAAAAATTACTATCTGAAATTAAAAAGGAAAAAAAACAAAACTAAAACTTAACTTTAAATATATAAGATGTTTAAATATACAATTTTAAATTGTATTGACTTTGGAGTGCAGTCCATATATAACGCACGATTTAGATTTTGGATCTAAAAAAAACGAGCTTGAAAATTATTATATATGCAAAATACTTCCACTTTCTTTATTTAAATATAAGCAAAATAAAATAAATATAAATAAAATTCATTCCAAAGTGTATTAAACTCGGAAAGTCACTTTATGACTGATTTTAGACGCAAAAAAAGTGTTATCAGAGGGTTGAACCATTTTGCATATATCAAAAAAAAAAACAAAAACTCTACCTAAAATAATGTTTTGTTAAAAATGCAAAATTAAGGACCAAGTAAAATTAACTGTCCAATATATTTTTATACTTAATGAGTTAAAACCTAGTAGGGATGTCTAAGATACTCTATGGAAGAGTTTTGAAACTATATTGAAGTCTTTTTTATATGATAATTGATCCTAATATTTAAAGAATTAAATATATTTATTGATTAGTTTATTATTATATGGTATATGTACATATATAAAATATATGTATATATGTATCATATGTATCATATATTTTAAATGACCATTGAGGTCACATTCATATGGTATATATTATAATACATATATAATATAAATATCAACAATTTTATTATAATAATTTGTTATCGGGCTAATTGGTCAAATTTAAATAGAAATAAAAAAGACATTATTTATATTTAAAAATCGTTTATACTTTATTAAAAATAATTCTTCCAATATTTCGACTATCTTAGGTAGTGATCTTCAGGGAAAACTAAACTAACAATTTTATGTATTAATTTATTTTATTATATATACATTGAAAAATATAAACGGTTTGCTAAGAAAAGCATGTTTTAAAATCATCGGATTGCATTTTCAAATTAAGCAACATTTATCCTTGAAGTTCTTACCAAACAAAACAATAAAGTTTTCTTCCCAAAAAATTATGTCTGAATCAGAAGTTTATATGCTAGCTATATCTAAGTCTGGGTTCTGGCTTTCATTTCTTTATAGACATTCTGGGAATCGATTTAAATCATTAATTATGACTGGAAAGTTAAAAAGTGTACTGAAGAAATTTTGAGAGTGTGCTCGATATCATTGACATTATTATTATTATTATTATTCTATCTAGATCAGCATCGATATAAATAAAATTTTGTTCATTTCCCTATAGAAATGTGAGTACATTCTATACCAAATTTTATGTCTTCAAAACATTCTTCAAAACAAGGATTATTCATATCCCATTGTTAGGTTTATTTGAGAGCTATAAGATATAATATAAGATATAGTATTCCGAATTTAGCAAATCCATATTTAAAGTATATTAAAAGCTAAAAAAATTTTCCTACCCAAAAACCTAAACCGACAGTTTATAGGACAACTACTTCTAAATCTGAACTGATAATAATAAGCAGAATTTATATAAGTTGGAAATTGTCTCACATATAAGTACATTTTGTACCAAATTTTATTTCACTACCTTTATTACAAACGGAAAACATAACATCCGATTGTTCAGTTTATATGCCGGTAATAGAATATTGTGGTTCGACCGCGTCAAATATAACAATTAAGCCATTACATTTTATAAACTACACCTAAGTTCCGAATTCTAGATAAATACATTAAAAAAATAAAACGATTTTTTAACAAAAATCAATCGAATTTGGTCGTTCACATAACAGCTATATCAAAATCTGATCCAATAAAAATAAAATTGTGTGTATTTTCTCATATAAATATAAAATCAGTATAATTTTATACCATTTTTTAGTTGAAAAACTTTATTAAATATGGTAATAATTTATTTCAGATTGTTCAGTTTATATGACAACAATAGGATATAGAATCCAATTTTAGCCAATTCGACAAATGACCGCAGTCCGCTCCGACATATTCCGAAAATTATGTGCAAAGTTTCAGTTTGATGACATAAAAACTGAGAAGGGATTTAATTTGAAACAAATAAGCGATTCGGCGGACAGGACCAAATGAACTCAGTTCATCTAGCTGGTTAATAAAATATATGCCCCTTATTTGTTTAACGACATTCCCTTTAATGCATGAAAAATATTTTGACAAACCTGCTAAACCTTTTAGGCACTTTTTTCATTAATAATTAGTATAATAAATAAATTGATTAACACTGATTCAGATTCTTTTTTAACAAATATCGGTTAAATTTTTATAAAATCTGCATTCATCTCATTACCTTTTCACTCTAAAAGTACTTTCTGCAAAATCAGTTTTAGAAAGGAGCTACCAATAACATAATTGTATTGCGTTGATTTTTTTTCAGACATTATATATTACATTATATTTAGTTTTGAAAATTTATCACCCAGGAATTAACTTTCGAAATGCATGGACTTTAATACAAAATAACTTGTTTAATTCTATGGTGAAAGGCCAAGAATTCTACTCTTATTATCTATAGTATAAAATTTAATGTAATGTTTTATTGTATTAATTATTAATTAATACTTTTAAGAAATTTTGTTATTATTCAATGTAACTTACTTTTTCGAATAGTCAATTTCGGTTATATTTTTTCTATAAAAAAAATTTAATACTTTTAAG